AATCTACTGATTCTATATAATGATCAGTTAACCAAAGGAGTGGTCAAATGGAAGTTAACACCTTTCGCCTTTTACCCCATATTATTATGCAGACATTGCAAAGGCAGACTACCTGAACTTCTAATAAGGGGTCAAAGGTCAAGTTTAACCTCAAGATTTTTTTGAAAGAAAACTCCAAAATGCTCCAGAGGTTCACATACTTCACTCAACGCTAACCCCAAAAGACAGGCACAGATATAGTGAAAACTGACCAGGTGTTGGATGGATTCATTATACTGTATAGTCTGTGTGTGTTTACTTCCTCTTTGCTCAGTCTTTGGTGAGACACTTTAACAGACTTGTTTCTCACGATTCATGTGCTCACAGTCATACCCGGTGGTTTTGTTTTATTGAATTTTATTGACAATTTTTTGTCCATCACAGATACGCCTGACAAAGCAGTAAATTGTTATCACTTAGTACAGCCTCAATTAAAAGTAAGAGGTATATTTATCATTTTACAACACTGGGTTTTATAACAGGATCAAGTTGTATTTCCCTTTATGCTACTCACAAAACAAACATTATATAAAAATTATATATTGTGGATGGAATATATGAATTTATGAAGAGATAAAAGTCATAAAAACACCAAACATCTGTTTTATGATCTCTATTGAACTGTACGTCCTTATTGTAATAAATGTTGGTGAAAAGCATCAGGGTCACTGAAACAAAGAACCTATAACATTTAAAAGTTGAAACCCAGTTGTTTTTGTAAAAAATTCAAGGAAATGACTCCAGAAAAATAATTGTATTGAATAAACAATTAAACATGAAACATTATAAAACTTTTCTGACTTGCCTACTCAACTAGCTCCTCCTTTGCATCCTGTTTCACCTGTTTATTTTCCTTGTCTTCATGTTGTACGACTTAAATTAACTACATATTTGTCTCAACAACCTCTGAAGTGAAGATGAGTGACTGTGTGGAGGAAGAGTATGAGAAAGAGTCTCCGGTGTCCAGCTGTGTGTCTATAAAGAGTGATGGGTCCATTAGTCCTCCTCCAGATTTCATTAATGAACCTGGACCCTCAGACACACAGTAAGAGAACTACCAGTTACTGTTTAACCAACAAACTATCAGTAACAGCAATATGTGTATTAAGAACTGTGTATTTTTAATAATTTCACCCTGATTCACATGAAATGAACAAAAACATCTTGTTGTTTCCAGAAGTCAGTACCACCGACAAAGAGCGGAGTCTCCAATGTCCAGCTGTCTGTCTATGAAGAGTGACCGGTCTAAAGAATATCCTCCAATATTCAGTAATGAACCTGAACCCTCAGACACACAGTAAGAGAACTGACACTAACTTCAGTTTATATCATTATATTATCACCATTATTTGATTGTATATGCCCAAATATACAATATTATTCAGGAAATTACCTTTGAAAAATTGTGTACTTCATAAAAGTCAATGATTAGACAATTACACATTAACAGCAACAACACATTAAATGGACCTGTATGACAGTGGCTCCTACACAGAGTACAGTTGCATTATGGGTAGTTTGTAACCTTAATGTTGGCTAGTGAGTTACTTTAAGTCCATTCACAGTCCGGCTGTTAAAGTAAGTCGGTCCTAAAATTGTTTAGTTAGCCCAGTTTAACCTTAAGGAGTTTTTGATGACTTTTGTAACGTGTTTTGTTGTCACAAAAGTCAAACAGAAAGCATCTCCCGACACTTACTGCAAACAGATCAAATGAACTGTTAAACAGCCAGTAATTATACAAGATACAGTCTGAATGCTGCCAAACTACCGTAGAAAATCATTCTGCCTGCTTCCAAGTCTTATAGGAGAGAGAGAGTAGGTATTTTAATGAGAGATAAGCGACACAAATATAGGATTTATGTTCTATTTTAATTTAAGTATTTGATGGTTTATTTTTACAAAGAAAGGATTCATCTGTCAATATAGTTGGAGTTACAGTATCTCAGGGACACATTCCCAACACTGCTAGTCTGAAATCCTTTTCAAGTTGTTCTTTTCACAGTTTGGTCAATCACTTCCAAAATATCTAGTAGACAAGTTTATGCTCCATTCATCCATAATACAAATATGTGTGGTACTATTACAGAAGGCAGAGGTTAAACATCTTCATCAAGAATGAAAAAAGTTATCTCAGATATTATAGTAAAACCTCAACACACCTTTTACATTGAAATATAATTGTGGTTTCTAATCAGATTCAACAACACTTTTAATGTTCTCTGTGACCATCTGAGCTTCCAGACAGTGTCGGATGAATTTTAGTAATAAAGAAATGTCTTCACAGAGAGAGGAAGAGGAGTCATGTTTCTGTGGAGGAGCAGCTGTCCTGCTGTGTTTTGTGTCAGGACGTCCTGAAGGATCCAGTCTCTACCAGCTGTGGACACTGGTTCTGCAGACAGTGCATCACCTCATACTGGGACCAGTCTGCTTCATCAGGAGACTCCTCCTGTCCCCAGTGTGGAAAAAGATCCAGAACAAGAGCTGGACTGCAGACAGCCAGTCAGACCAGCACTGTACAAAGTAAGACTATATAAAGGTACAGTAGGTAGATTTAGTGACATCTAGCAGTGCAGTTGCAGTTCCAAGTACAAAGACGAACCTCTGGTGGCAGTGAAACGTTTGTCCCTTCTATGTTACTGTAGAAACATGGCGGACTCAATGGAAGGCGACCCACAGCGTCTGTAGATAAAAACAGTTCATTCTAAGTAAACAAAAACTGTCTGCTGATGTCCTCATGTCTGAAAACAGGACTTTATAATCTAGTACAGGGACATTTGTTGTGTTATGAATCAGAATCAGAATTTGGTTTATTGCCAGGTTTACACATACGAGGAATTTGTCTTGGTGCATTGATGCATAAAATATAGCCTACACATCACACAAAAATATACAAATCACACAAAAATATACAAATCACACAAAAATATACAAATCACAGCAGTGGCGGACAATTCCCGGTGGCCTGGCCGCCGAGCTGGTCGATTGCCGATGGTCGGGACCAAAGGTTCGGTTCGGGTCGCGCTTGATTTTGAAATAAACAATCCGTCGTGCGGCTCGTTAGAGTATCTGCCTCACTGAAGCTCACACAGACTGAGCAGCAACGTTGGGCACAAACACACACCCTCCTCTCTTTTTCTGAGGCACTCTGTCACAGCACTGCAGGTACACACACACACACACACACACACACACACACACACACACACACCAACTAGCGCACCCGTCCCCCTCCTCTCTCCCTCCTCCCTCCTCCCGCACCTGTAGTTCTACATGCTTGGAAAGGTGGAAAGGTGGAGCAGAGAGGGAGAGGCTTAAAAAGCTAAAAGCACTGGCCACAGATCAGCGAAGTGCTGTAACATAACTGGTGACCTGGGATGGTATCAAATTCCCAGCCTGAATTATTGTCCCAGTCCGCCCCTGTATCACACAAATCAATAGTACTTTTAAAATATAAATGTATGTAATGCATATATACAGGGTGGGTATAAGAGTCATTGTCAGTGGGGGATCCGGGCCTTGTTAATGAGGCCAGCTGCAGATGGAAAGAAACTGTCTCAGAATATGCTTCTTCTCTTTCAGCAGATAGTGGTCTGCAGGAGGTTTTAGATGAACATAAGATCAGACTGCAGACGAGATGTAAACATGTGACTGAAGGAACTGATGAAATAGGAAGTGGAACCCTTCTCAACAGGATCTACACTGAGCTCTACATCACAGAGGGACAGTGTGAAGAGGTTAATACCCAACATGAGGTCAGGCAGCTTGAGACAGCTTCCAACATGGACGCTCCAATCAAGTGCCACAACATCTTTAAAGCCTTACCTGACCAACAGAGACACATCAGAGTGGTTCTGATGAACGGTGTCGCTGGCGTTGGAAATACCTTCTCAGTGCAGAAGTTCACTCTGGACTGGGCAGAGGGCTTGGAAAACCAAGATGTCAGTCTGGTGGTTCTGCTTTCGTTCAAGGAGTTGAACCTGATCAAAGATGAGCAGTACAGTCTTCTCACGCTGCTCCATGTTTTCCATCCAACATTACAGAAGGTCACAGCAGAGCAGCTTGCTGTCTGTAAACTTTTGTTCATCTTTGACGGCCTGGATGAAAGCAGACTTTCACTGGATTTCCACAACAATGAGGTTGTGTCTGACGTCACACAGAAGTCTTCAGTCAACGTGCTGTTGACAAACCTCATCAAGGGGAATCTGCTTCCCTCAGCTCTCGTCTGGATAACTTCCAGACCTGCAGCAGCCAATCAGATTCCTCCTGAATGTGTCGACAAGGTAACAGAAGTACGAGGCTTCACTGACGCCCAGAAGGAGGAGTACTTCAGGAGGAGAGTCAGTGATGAAGATCTGTCCAACAGAATCATCTCACACATCAAGACCTCCAGGAGCCTCCACATCATGTGTCTAATCCCAGTCTTCTGCTGGATCACTGCTACAGTTCTGGACCACATGTTGACTACAGACCAGAGAGGAGAGCTGCCCAAGACCCTGACTGACATGTACTCACACTTCCTGCTGGTTCAGACAAAGAGGAAGAAGCAGAAGTATGATGAGGGACATGAGAAGAGTCCACAGGAGCTGATGGAGGCTGACAGGGATGTTCTTCTGAAGCTGGGGAGGCTGGCGTTTGAACAGCTGGAGAAAGGAAACATCATGTTCTACCAAGAAGACCTGGAGCAGTGTGGTCTTGATGTCACAGAGGCCTCGGTGTACTCAGGAGTTTGTACAGAGATCTTCAAAAGAGAGAGTGTGATCTTCCAGAAAACAGTCTACTGCTTCGTTCATCTGAGCATTCAGGAGTTTCTGGCTGCAGTCTACATGTTCCACTGTTACACCAACAGGAACACCAAAGTACTGGAGGACTTCCTGGGTCCAAAATATGTTAATTTAACCCTGGATGTCTTCCTGAGGAAAGCCATGGAGAAATCCCTCAAAAGTAAAAATGGCCATCTGGACCTGTTTGTTCGCTTCCTTCATGGCCTCTCTCTGGAGTCCAACCAGAGACTCTTAGGAGGCCTGCTGGGTCAGACAGACAACAGTCCAGAAATCATCCAGAGAGCCATCAACAACCTGAAGGAAATGAACAGTGCCAATATCTCTCCTGACAGAAGCATCAACATCTTCCACTGTCTGATGGAGATGAACGACCACTCAGTCCATCAGGAGATCCAAGAGTTCCTGAAGTCAGAGAACAGATCAGAGAAGAAACTCTCTGAGATCCACTGCTCAGCTCTGGCCTACATGCTGCAGATGTCAGAGGAGGTTCTGGATGAGTTGGACCTGAAGAAGTACAACACATCATGGCCTGGACGACAGAGACTGATTCCAGCTGTGAGGAACTGCAGAAAGGCTCAGTAAGTCCAGATGTGATTAACATTATAAATCAATGTAAAGTTGAAGCCGTCAGTATTAGAGTAAAGATACACACTTTACACAGATGAACAATACAAAACCTCCATACTCTAAAGATTTTCTTAAATATTATATAAATAAACAGGTTTAATACTAGTTTAATCCAATCCAATCCAATCCAACTTTAAAGTGCTTAACAAATAAAGTTGGATTGGATTGGATTGGATTAAACTAGTATTAAACCTGTTTATTTATATAATTCTATTTGTGTTAAACGGCAGATGTCGACAGAAATATTTTTTGTGTTTATGTCCATTTAGTGATTAAGTATCCTCTACCATCTAACTATCTTTCTGTGGGCGATGGAGGGTTGATACAACTGAAAATATTTTCATCATTTTATCATAATAGTCTTTATTTTGTACAGTGTTTACAGTGTCTATGTTTCTATAATGTGTCTTTTCATTGTTATGTTATGTTATGTTTTTTATCAGACACTGTATATTGTTGTTTAGTTAATAAAAAGTAATATATTTGCAGATTTTGCTAAATTAGAATATTTTTTATTTTTAAACAGTAAGGAACCTCTCTCTCAGTGTGAGCTCAGTAGGTTCAGTTCAGTGGACGGATTTCTTCATCACCAAGCTCAGGAAGAACTATTATTTAACTGTTCAACTCTGAACTTGACAGATTTTATTATACCTTTTGTGTAATACAATATATGTTTTATATTTTCTGTCATCACAGACTTTCTTACTGTGGACTCTCAGACACTCACTGTGAAGTTGTGGCCTCAGCTCTGAAGTCCAACCCCTCCCATCTGAGAGAGCTGGACCTGAGCTTCAACACCCTGAAGGATTCAGGAGGGGAGCTGTTGTGTGCTGGACTGGAGAGTAAAAACTGTAAACTGGAGACTCTGAGGTCAGTTCATGTATTTTGCCCTTGTATAATGTATATCTACCAAATTTAAATGCATAAAAGAAGTTTTAAATTTCCTTTGGTTTCCTTGTCTTCTGGTTTTGTCTGAGTATAAATCTCTTTAATGTTTGTCAGTCTGAACAGTTTGGGTCCAAATTTATGTGCTCAAATTGGATTAATGTTAAGAAAGGATTAATTCTACAATGTAATGCAAAATGTAATTTTATACATAACCATCTGAACACTTTTTGTATTTTACAGGAACATTTACACATAAGACCCTTCTCTCTGTCAGAAACACCCTGAAACTAACATACAGTGGTACACATTGTGAAGCATATTTCTAAATGCAAGTGTTTGACGTATCATGTCTGTTCTGTCAATGACATTTCAACATGCAGAAAATTATGTCACTTTGTGTTTGGACTCAACCAGTAATCATGAACATAAATAAAACACTAAAAATAGAATAATTGGATAAAAAAGACTCTTTGCATTTTGCATGACAAAGCACATCAACATAGTCAGTCATTAATCACAAGGTTTGTGGTTTGAAACTTGAGCTCCTCCTGTTCACATGTCTAAGTGTCCTTAAGCAACATAATGAACCTGAGATCAGCAGCATGTGATCAGCATGTGATCAGTGTTGACATGAATAGATGTATGAATGTTGTGCTGACATTAGGATGATGTCTGTTATATTATGTGTTATTATGTTATTACAATGATCCACAATAACACAATGACAAAGTCACTCTACTCATATAAGAGAAAAGCTCATTAATTAAAACATAGTCATGTTGAGCTACACGTTGGAAATCTGAAAACATCTGATTGGATTATAAATGGATTTTTATCTGCATAATTTATTCTTTATTCAGATTGAGGGGCTGCAGTTTGTCAGCGATCAGCTTTGATTATCTGGTCTCAGCTCTGAAGTCCAACCCCTCCCATCTGAGAGAGCTGGACCTCAGCAACAACTACAAGCTGCAGGATTCAGGAGTGAAGCTGCTGTGTGGTTTTCTGGAGAGTCCACACTGTAGACTGGAGACTCTGAGGTCAGACACCATTTTTTACTTCTGTGCTGAGATTAATATGATGTGAAAGTTGTGCTGACAGTAAAGTGCAGACATAAGGCTGATATTATACTGATCCACACTGAGTATCTAAATGCTGAAGTCTGTTTTCTTCATCAAAGGTTCTAGAGTTACATCATTTATTCTTAATTCAGATTTAGTTACTGCAGTTTGTCAGAGATCAGCTGCGATTATCTGGTCTCAGCTCTGAAGTCCAACCCCTCCCATCTGAGAGAGCTGTGGCTGAATAACAACAATCTGCAGGATTCAGGAGTGAAGCTGCTGTGTGGTTTTCTGGAGAGTCCACACTGTAGACTGGAGACTCTGAGGTCAGTTCACTGACACTGTTACTATTGTAGTTTGTTTTTGTCATATTTGATGAAACTTTCACTGCATCCTGACAGAAGTACATAAGATGGATGATCTATATATGCTCCTAATATAATTTGCAAGAATCCACAGGGCCTGAACAAAAACAATCAGCCGAGAAAGTCTGTAGTTGAGTCTCATTCACAGGTTGTCAAATGCGGACACTTTAGGTCCCTAACCCTTAATACTGTAAAGATGTAGTGAAAGTTTCAGCAAATATGACAAAAACATATATACATTTCTATTATTATTATTATTATTATTATTATTATTATTATTATTATACATTATTACACTAATAACATCTGATCATTGATATTAATCCTTCAGATTGAATTTATCTTAAATCGTGTATAGGAGTGGACCAAGACAACTTTCTTGAAGCACTCCATTTTCTTAACCTTTTTTAACATTTGAATAACTTCCATTAAAGTACACCATTTGCCTTCTGTTGCTCAAGTAGCTTTTTTTCCATAATAGTGGAGACTGAGAAAAACCATATGATTTTAGTTTCAACACCTTCACTTTAAATTTTTCTCTGTCCTATTTCCACAAGCCAGTCATCAACCATTTGAGTCAAGGCAGTGGCTGTCGAATGTTTTTCTCTATATGCATGTTGGAAATTAGTGATTAAATTATTATTAAAAAAAATAAGATTGGATCTGCTCATATACAATTCTTTCTGTTATCTTACTCAAGATTGGTAATAAACTTATAGGTCGACTATTAGATTGTGAAAACTGCAACTTCCTAATTTTTTGGTATCGGCACCACTTTGGAAATCTTCCATGGTTGTAGGCATAACTTTTCACTGAAACACTGATTAATAATATGCATGACCATAGGAGAAAACAATGAAGTTATAGGCTTTATAAATTTGCTATCAAGACTGTCAACACCAGGTGGTTTATTTTTGGATGTCATTAACATTGATTTAACTTTAGCAACACTAACATCCTTGAACTCAAAGTTAAATTTTTTGCCTTGCATAATATGATCTATTAATATATGTGATAAATCTGTATTCTTAGGCTGGGTGGTAGTTTTAACCCATAAATCTTATTTATAGAATAACTGTTTAGATGATTTGCTATATCTATAGGTTTAGTATAAAATTCCCCTCCGGTTTCTATATAACATGGGGTGGATTTAGTATTTCCTCTCAATAGGGAGTTCAAAATATTCCATAATTGTTTACTTACTCACTCATTTATTCAATCATCAAAATACCCTTTCTTTTTCTTATTACATAATTTTGTTACAAAATTCCTTAATTTGCAATATATTTACCAATCTGATCTAAAACTAGATGAAATTGCTGTTAATTTAGTTTGATCCCTTTCCTGTACATTTGTTAATGGTGCATGATGGTCTACAATTGTGTCATTGAAAGTGTGAAATGCTTCTTCAGGGTTCTCTTCTAAGAACACCCTTGACCAGTTAGCATTGTTAACATCTTCCTTATATCTGTCCTCATTAAAACCCCCACATTATATTTTCCTAACTATTTTTGGACAACATTTAGCAAATGTTGTTTTCCTTACAATTGCAATGAGATTTTGTTCCCTACAACCTAATTGCACAGATATGGAATTACAGCAAAACTCTGGTGTATTTATAATAACAAGACGATGATGGTGCACTTCTACACTGCCATCATCGAGTCCATCCTCACCTCTTCCATCACCATCTGGTACGCTGCTTCCATTGCCAAGGACAAGGGCAGACTGCAGCGTATCATTCGATCTGCTGAGAAGGTGATCGGCTGCAATCTGCCATCCCTCCAGGACCTGTACGCTTCTAGGACCCTGAGTCGTGTCGGCAAGATTGTGGCTGACCCCTCCCACCCTGGACCCAAACTCTTTGAAACACTTCCCTTTGGTAGGAGGCTGCGGTCCATCACGACCAAAACCTCTCACCACAAAAACAGTTACTTCCCATCTGCAGCTGGCCTCATTAACAAGGCCCCGACCCCCTACTGACACTGACTCTTATACCCACCCTGTATATACAGTATGCATTACATTAATGCAGTCCCGTCTTCTGCACAGTTTTCTTTCTTTCTTATCTTTCTTGTCTTTATTTATTTATATTTTGAAAGTACTTTATTTTCTGTGATTTGTATATTTGTATATTTTATGCACCGATGCACCAAGACACATTCCTCGTAGGTGTAAAAACCTACTTGGCAATGAACATTATTCTGATTCTGATAACAAATATCTAAAATATTGTGTCGGTAGAAGGCTGACAATATGAAGATCCACAATAACACAATGACAAAGTCACTCAACTCATTTAAGAGAAAAGCTCATTGATTAGGACATAGTAATGTTGAGCTACACATTTAAAACC